TTGAAGACCAAATTGTTTTCATAGAAGTGGATTATTGGTTTAAAGATGTATAATWAAAATATAAGAGTACATAGTCCATAATGTAAATGTAAAACTCATATGTTGTTTTTATTAATACAAGGTAGATTTGCTGTATAAACTTACTGTATACCAACTTTCACTGATGGGAAATGTTTAATTATAGTCTCTCTCTCTCTCTCTTTTAACTTTTCTTGACACTGTAGGGAAATGTACTGTTTGTTCATAAAATTGGCATCAGCATAGACCATATGGCCTCCATTTTTCAAGAAACATGTTTCCTTGGAAAAAGGGTCATCAATATTGTATTTGTTTAGAACTAAGATTTATGAGATTGAATATTGAAGAAAGATGTAAAGATGAGATTGTATGACAAATTTCAGTGGGTTGTAAATACTAGAATATTTCAAGAAGTGTAACCAAAACTCAAATTTAATGTTATTCTATAATATTTTCTACACTGCAGTCATGTAAATCTTTACAATCTGACTGTAATTTTGAATGTGTAGTTCAGTAACATTTAAGCGGCTTTCCTCAGCACTTCAGATAAAAGCACACTGAAGTGTCTAAGGCCATTTGTGATCTTATTCCTACCAATTTCTTGTGACTCCTCAGCTGTGAATGACTAGATCTAGACTCACTTTAGCTTCACCTAAGACTTTACATTCACCTAGAATTCTAAGTAATTGCATATTTATTTTTAATTACTGTACTTAATGCAGTAAATGTATGCACTCTGTCAGGAATTATAGCACATATTTTGTGAAACATTTCTTGAAGTTTTTGGTTCTCATTGTTAAATTTGAGTATTTGATCTTTTGAAATTATCATCTACGCTTACCAGTATATAGTGTGTTCTGAGCTTTCATCTGGAAGGAACAAATTACACTTTTCCACAAAGAAGTTAATTGTGATAGATGATTAACAATTGTATTGCATTTTACATATTGTAGAATCTGATTATCAATATAAAAAGATAAATGCAATAAATAGTAGTACCAGAAAACATACAAAGAAAACAAAAAATATGGTAACATTACTGGGGCAGAAATGCTATATCCAACCTTTGTGCATCCAGTTTTAAGACTTTCTGATCTTGCAGTACTTTCAAAGTAAATTCTGTCATTCTGGTTTCACCCTCATATCTAGGTTTATATAAAACACTATTCTTTCTTTGACTCATTATGATCACCTATGACAAGAATGAGTGGTCATGCCAGGTGCAGTGGCTCACACCTGTAATCCCAACATTTCAGGAACCCAAGGAAGAAGAATCATAAGTTCAAAGCCAGCCTCAGCAATTTAACAAGACCCTGGGCAGATTAGCAAGACCCTGTGTCTAAATAAAAAATAAGAAAGGCTGGGGACATGGCTCAGTGGGTTCAATTCCTGATTTAAAAAAAAAAAAAAGAGTGTAAGAAGATAAAGTTGACTGATCAAATGAATCACAAAGAAAAAATGCATTTTAAATAAGAAAGTAATGTTTTAGAAGAAATTACAGAGATCCAGGAGATATTAAACTTTACTAGGCACTTAATGTGCAGAATATGGAAATGGATACTCTCAACTGTAATAAGAAGTTTTGTTTTCCTTAACATTGAACAGTAAATCTTAAGTGCTGGAGATTCACAATTGTACAAATCATAGATTCATGTCTTCTCTCATGATCTTACACACTAAGGGGAATTAAAACATTAATAAAGTGATTACAATAGTAAAAATGCACACTTACAAAAATAAAAAGGTTTTTTCCAGAAAGGAGAACAAGATGGATGAAGGCATCCTACTATTATTCCCTTCACCACCCAAATCCCAAATGGGATCATTGAAACTACCAGATAATGTGGGGCCACAAGCAAAAAGTGTCAATATGTGGTAATTGCATGGTGTAATCAATAATTTCATATGACATAATCAGTAATACATCAAAAAAATTAAATAAACATTCTAAAAAATCTTCATGAAAGTAAATGTTTGTAACACAAAGTAATGAATAACATTTCTGCATCCAGATAAAGCATGGTAAAGATAAATCAAAAAAGAAAAAATGCAGTTTTGAACTCATACAAATATAAGGAATAATAACTAAATTACATTAATGTCAAAGTAGGATGAATAGTTCAACAACCTGCAACTGTTGTTTCCTTTACTGTTTTTCATAGACCCGATCCTGACCTTAGGGGAAAAAAAAAACTGGAAAAATTTTTCTGGTTATGTGTACTAGAATGGTAATGTCACTTATTTTTTTTTTTTCCTACAAGTCATTTGCTAAATGGAAGACAGAACAGAGACAGGCCATTCTGGGGGGAAAAAATTGAAACCTTCCAAAGTCCTCCAGTTTTTAGGAATCAGAAACTAGCTAGAAAAAGGTCATGGGGAAAAAAAAAAAAAAAACAAGTCAAGCATGGTGGCACCAATAAGAGATTCAGATATACAATGTCCCTTATCTGGGTTACCAGAGTGGGACTTTAAAACAACTATCTATATGTATTTAACAATTATCTACACACAGGACAAAGAAGATGTAAAAGTTTAAAATGTCCCTGGAAGATTTCAATCTTCAAATCCAAACAAATGGGCATTCTAAAACTTAAAAGCTGAAATTTCCAAAATTAAGAACTCAGTGAAAATGAAATAGAAGATTAGATTGAAAGCAAAAGTAATACTGGTGAGCTCAAAGAAAAATCAGCATAAAAATATATGAACTGAAATAGATAAAATGGAAAAATGCAAATAGGTAAATGGATAAATGAAATGTGATATTCAATAGGAAAATGTATGTGGAATTGAAGTTGTAGGGTGAGTATAGAGACAGAATGGGACAAAAAAACAAATACATACACTTGGACCAGAATAAACAGAAACAAAACCCTACCAAGCTGTAACACTCAAAACACTGAAAGCAAAGATGAAGAGATAATCTTACAGTAGCCATATGAAGAGACAAACAATATTAGACTAAGAAGATAATTCTCAGTACAAACACTAGAAGCCAGAATTCAATAGTATTTCTCTTTGAAAATAACAAACAAAACTAATTGCCAGGGGAAGTGCTGGGAAGTGATTGGCCAACATATATTGCTATACTCTGTGCACATATGAATATGTAAATGTGTGTGTGTGTGTGTGTGTGTGTGTGTGTGTGTGTGTGTGTGTGTGTGTGTGAGAGAGAGAGAGAGAGAGAGAGAGAGAGAGAGAGAGAGAGAGAGAGAGAGAGAGAGAGACTTGGATTTGCTGACATATTGGGTATATTGTGTAGGAGAAAGACAGGTTTCAAAGATGACTCCAATTGGTTTGGTTATTTTAGCTCTTTATTTTGACATGATTTCAGATTTTCAAGACCCTTCACCAAGATTACTCCCCTTTCCACCCTCCCATCCTTTAGTTTCTACTTTTTGTAATTTTATCTTTGTGTTTGAGAAATTTGGAAGATTGCCAAAGTTCTTGAGAACTGGTTGAGATTATTTTCAACAATATTGGTACTGTTAGTAGTAAGGCTATTATTAATAACCTTGAACTACTTCAAATAAATTATTTCACTGCCATAGTTTTGGACTTCACTGTTAGCCAGACGTGGGCTGTAAATATAAACGAGGGCTTATCTGTGGGTACAAATGTTTCATGGGAAGTTTTCATTTTCTCCTCCATCTTTTCAAAGGTCAAGACTAGCAAGAATCTCTCTTTCTATTTTCTGAAGTATAGGTTTCATTTCTTATTTCTTGTAGGAGTTTGAAACATTTGGGGGATCTCAGTTTTAGAAAGAGAACTTGCATTTCACACTCAGGTTAGATGACCACTAAACTTTGTCTTGTATTTCCAAGCTCCATGACAACCATTAAAACAGAAACTAACAGTCCCAAAGTTTATTATAAACTCTCAGAATAAAAGCCAGTTTCTGTGGTTGCTTTTCAGTTGTGATTTTCATTTTTATTCAATTCTGATATTTAATACATTTCACCTGCCTGCTGGTTTAGTAATGCTTTCCCCAAGTAGCAATATATTATGCAACAACATTATGAATCATTTTCTGTTATTTTCAGTGATAACGAATGCCCAGCTATCTTCCCCTCTGTTCTTAGCTTTATCGACTGGGTGAGTTATGCCAACATGGTTGGGCGCTGCTGAAGATCCTCCTGCAGGTGTAGACTCAAATTCTCCTTGTATCCTCTTGTGATGTAAGAAAGATTAGAGAGATTTCTGGGGTCTTTTATTAAAAGCATTAATCCTACTCACCAGGGCTTAACACTTAATACCCAAATTTCCTTCCAAAGGCCTGCCTTCTATTATAATTTGGAGGGTGTTATAGTTTCAAATTTGAAGTTTGGAGGTACACAAACATTTAGTCTACCCCTGGCCTCTGAAAGGTTCATGTCCTTCTCACATGCAGAATACACTCATTCCATCCCAACAACCCCAAAAGGCTTTACTCCTTCTAGCACCAACCCTAAAATCTAAAGCCTGAAGTCTCATCTAAGTATTACCTAAATAGTTAATATTTATCCAAATGTTGCCTGTCCCACCCAAAATATTATTGGGTGGGACAGGCAACATTCTTCCCCAGCTGTGATCTCATGAAATACAATAAATTATGTGCTTTCAAAGTGCAAGGTTGGGATTGGCACTGGATAGGCTGCCACCGCAAAAGGAGGAAATGTCAAAGAAAAAGAAAGGATGATGGGCTCCAAGCAAGTCCAAAACCTGGGTAGGCAAACTCCACGAGATCTTAAGTTCCAAGAATAAACCTCTCTGGCTTTCTGCTCTGCCTCCAGGACCACTGGGGCAGCAGTCTTGCCTTCTTAACTGACTGGGATGTCAACATTACCCCCACAGCTGGGCACAGCACTGCCCACCCATGGAGCAGTTTTCTCTGCTAGATGTACCACCAGTGATTTATAGGGCTACTTTTTCCTCACCACTTTCCTGGATTGGTTCCATTCTTTTTAATCGAGGCTGAACCCAACTCCATCCTGTGCAGTCTGGGCCATGGTAGAGGTGGACTTGATGATTTCTGAATTGCCTTCCTTTGTCTTACAGAATACTAGATGCAGAATAGTTCTGTGGTCCTATTCTGGAGAGCCCAGGAGGTGTATGTTTTTCCTGTGTTTGTCCCATTGTTTGTTTCCTTCAGCCACATAGCATTGTTCCTGCCGGTGCAATCCCTTCTCTGTTCCTGTTTTGTGTTGGGATGGATTGATTGAGTCTACCCAATCCTTTGCATGCAGATGTATGTGTTCAGGGCTGAACAGTTTTCTGTGTAGCCTTTAAAGCTTGAGCCATAGACAATGCAGGTTCCGTTCTGCATTTCCACCAGTGTTAGTCTGGATTGGAGAGAATTACACATGACATATCCATAACTTTGTTAATGCAGGAAATAAAAAAGCAATAATACTTATAAGAATTTAAAAGGTATTGCAGGAGAATTTAGTACCATGCTTGACCTTCCTGATTCACAGATATACAAAATGTAGGCATCTCAGAAAATGAAAGTTTCATATTTTAAATTATGAGCCACTGGGTTTTTTTTATACTTTGGAAATTTACACTTTATAATTGTGCTTATTTCTGGAGTAGAATTTGATGTTCTAATGTATATTGATTAATATAATCAATAAGTGTAGTTAGCATAGTTATCACTTCATGTACTTGTCATCTCTGGCATTCCACAGCACAACAGGGTGACTCAGTTACCAATTAGCTATTTTACGTTTAAGAATCAGCTAGAAGAGTGACTTTTGAATGTTCTCACCACAGAGAAATAAACAGTGCCTTGTTCTCTCTAATTTCACTTTCTTCACATGTTATTTTGATTTCTATGTGTCTTTTCCCACATCATTCTTATCACTCTTCACACCACATTATGCTTATTTTTTGATAACTACATTTCCTTTTTTGTTTGCTTGTTTGTTTTCCAGTCTGGGGATGGAGCCCAGGACCTCTCACATGCTGGACAAGTGCTCTACCACAGCTACAACTCCAGCCCCTTTAACTACATTTTTGACTGCAGGATAAAGTTCTTGAGGGAGTTATGTCCTAGTGGTCTCTGCAGTTATCTCTGCTGGACATTTACAGGTACTCAAAAATATTTACCATGTGCATGAACAAAAATTACACTTGTAGATTGGAAATAATATGATATACAATCTTATTTTGGGAGAAGAAAATTTTGTTAAAAATAAAATCTCAGGGCTGGGGATGTGGCTCAAGCGGTAGCGCGCTCGCCTGGCATGAGTGTGGCCGGGTTTCAATCCTCAGCACCACATACCAACAAAGATGTTGTGTCCGCCGAAAACTAAAAGATAAATATTTTTTTAAAAAAYCTCTCTCTCAAAAAAAAATTATTAAAAAAAAATAAAATCTCAGGTCATGTAGAAATTAGCCCATCCTACATCAATACTGGGGGTCTTCATGTCAGAAATATAAAATGTGATAGGAAGGTAGATAGTTTCTGTTACAATGTATACAACAGAAAACTTGAACACCTGACAGTAAATGGTTGTTGACTGACCACTGCCAATTACCCATTAAAGTAGCAAAGCAAATTCAAAACCATTCAATGATTACTCTTGTGATACAGTCAGAAATGCATATATATCTGAATCCCTGCTGAAACAATGATGTTTTTTAGAGCTTAAGTGAGTTATTACACACTCTAAGATTCTGTTCTTTACTTGTAAAATTAGAGTAAAATAATACTTGTTATATAGGTGTGTGTGTGTGTGTGTGTGTGTGTGTGTGTGTGTTTTGCTGGGGATTGATCCCAGGGCCTTGTGCATGCACTTTACTAACTGAGCTATATCCCTAGCCCTATTTAGGAATTTTAAGAGTTCTTAATGAGGAGACACATATAAAATGCTTAAAATTGTGTCTGAAAGACATAAACACCTAATTAATCTAACATTAACATTGATATTGTGATTATTTTTATTATTTATAAAAGAGTTGAATATTCAAATAACTAAAATATAAATAAAGAATTTTAAATATTTACAGTCTAGGAAACTTCTGCTGATTTTATGAGACCAAAGGAGAGAGAAAGTAGTAGTATCAAAATATTTGGGTTTTATTCCTGATCTTTGTGCCATTATAAGTAAATTAATTAATAGTAAATATGATAGGCCACATCTCCCAAATGATAGAAATGGCCTTTTTCTGAGAATTATCTTAACATTCATTCAAAGGATAAAAGCTATATTCTATAAGCTCAATAAATGTTGAAGTATTGTCATTTAGCCCAGGTGTGAAGAGTTCGTCTATGCTATCAGGTGGTTAAAAGAGCAGGCTATTAAAAAAAAAAAAGTATCAGAATACTCTAGTCTGTAAATATCAAAGCAACTGTAGTTCATAGACACAGACTGAAGATCAAAGAGCTGAGCAAATAAAGAAACCCAAAGACACATAGAAGTCCTTTCTTGAGTATTCAGCAAAGTACTAATTAATGCATGTGTGCAAGAAAAATATTCAAAGATGGAGAAAGAACTATCTAGAAAGGTTTAGAGGAAACAGTGTGGATATAGAGGGTCTGGAACTATGCCTACTTTATCTAGCGATTTGTAAAACCTTGTATTTCAAACAGAGTTGAAATACAAGGTATTAGAAGAATACTGCTTTAGAGTGGGGATAATTAACTAGACTGGATGTCCTGATTAGTAATATGTTTTAAAAGATCAAAATAGATGAAGTGGTTTGTAAGTAAGAGTACTTGATAAAGGCAAGTACCTTTGCCCCTAGAATATTTTTAGCAATAAAAATATGTAACATAAAATTAAAGACATATTTAATGTTTTTAATAAAAGACCAATGTATAAAATTCCACAAAAAAGTACCTGGCAAGTAAAGAAACAGAATAATTAACCTTTTTTTTTTTAGAAAGAGAGAGAGAGAGAGAGAGAAAGAGAGAATTTTTTTAATATTTATTTTTTAGTTATTGGCGGACACAACATCTTTGTTTGTATGTGGTGCTGAGGATCGAACCCGGGCCGCACGCATGCCAGGCGAGCGCGCTACCGCTTGAGCTACATCCCCAGCCCCAGAATAATTAACCTTAATGAGAAGACAAATCAATCAATCAAAATTCAAATCCATACATGGAGAATGTTAAAAACACCTACCAAAT